ACATGTTGGTGATTGTTCACGGTATTTTCCTTTTCTTGTAAAACAAACACCTTCATCGCTGTCATTTAATTTACTTTTAGGTGGTGCCGCGGCCGTGTCGCCTGCGCTGTTGGAACAAAAATTATTTGATCTTCGCCAAGCTGCCAAAGCAGGATTTCTCGTACTGCTACAAGAACGAGGTAAGGATGACAGTAGTCAGGCGTTAGATGCCGTCCAGGCGAGTGTTCAGTTGATGGAGGATAGCCCCTACTTCAATGCCGGCTTCGGGTCATCGTTGACCAGTTCGGGTGAAGTTGAAATGGATGCGATAATTGCTGATGGAAAGCGACTTGATTTTGGGGCCATTTCTTCGGTCACTTCATTCAAGAACCCAGTCCAGGTTGCCCGTTCTGTTTTAGACTGCTCTGAACACTGCCTCTTCACAGCGGAGGGCGCCCAGCAGTTTGGACAGCAGCAAGGCATTCCTTTGATCGAGCGCAGCCAACTGGTTCATAAATACGCAAAGGTAAAAAAGGAAAAAATACATTTAATTGATTTGCAATCATTGCACTTGATTTCACAGGATCGACTGGAGGAGTTCAAGACCTTCAACAATGCCATTTTGTGTGATCATGATGAGGAAAAGAGCAGTGGTGATCATGATACTGTTGGCGCAGTGGCAATTGACCAGTTTGGCAATTTAGCTGCGGGCACCTCTACGGGTGGCATAACCGGCAAGCAGCCAGGAAGAGTGGGCGATACGCCTGTCATTGGCTCGGGGGCCTATGCGGACAATTTAGTGGGCGCCGTCTCCACGACAGGTAACTTAAAAGGTCGCCCACTATTGGGCGCTACAGAATATACGACCATTTCTAATCACTGAACGCCTACAGGCCATGGAGAGGCAATAATGCGCGTCTGTCTGGCTCGAGAGGTGCTCTACCGCTACCAGCAGAATTTGGCGCAAAATGGCGACAATGCAATGCAGGCGGCTGTAGAGCAGTCACTGGAGCTGATGAGAAAGCGCGTCGACGGCTTCGGCGGAGTGATTGCAGTGGGCGCTAGGCAAGAGATTGGCATTGCCTTCAACACCAAAGGCATGCCCTGGGCGTACATCTCCAGTGCAGACCTAGACGGCGAAAAGCTGGCCCAGCTGAAAGCTGACAACAGCTACAAGATTCAAATCCACTACGGCTACAATCCCGGTGACCACGGGCTGGTTGCGCTTCAGTGACGGCCCTCTCCCTCCCTC